TCACATCATCCTTGCTGTAACCATATTGTCCATCAGGAAAGCTAAATCAAATCCGAAAACAGAAATACATTAAAAGAAACATTTGTAAAAGACAGTGGGGCCGGCAAGCATGTATTTGTGCGGCTCCTGCCACTGTGCCAAGAAATTGTAAGTAAATGTCAAGCTCTCCAAAATTTTAACAGTAACAAGTCCTGAACCCTTGGCAGGTATGTCCTGGATGATGAATATACCAGCTCAGTAGGCTCCAAATTTCCAGTCCGGTGGTCTCCACCAGAAGTCCTTATGTATAGCAAGTTCAGCAGCAAATCTGACATCTGGGCTTTTGGTAAGTGGAGGAAATACACAGATTACACAGCTCAAAGAAAGAAGAATGCAATGGAAATTGACACTTTGTAACCACACAGAGAGATTATTATGTGTTGTTTTCCTGCTTCTAATCCTTAGGGAGTGCTTACTATTATCAGGCACCACAGGGGTTCCGGAGGATAAAAAGAGTAACCTAGACATGATCCCTGCTTTCTTAGAGCTTAAGCAATATATCGAGAGGAACAAACAATTTATTCAGTATTCCACAGCTTCTGAATACTGATTATGTCCCAACGGACTCTGCCAGACCGGCTAGTTACAAAGACAAATAAGAGGCTGTCTCACGCCAGAGGAGCTAATTGTCCAGTACAACCCTGATTATCCTCCATTGTGGTCAGTACTAGAGAAGAAGTTTGAACGAAATGTAAAATTCACAGAATAGGGAATCAGCAGAATCTAGTATTTGAGGTTAATCTAGGAAGACGAGGATCCCAACTACCCAAAGAGACTGCAAATCGACTTACTACATTTTTTTCCTTTTCTAGGGGTTTTGATGTGGGAAATTTACTCTCTGGGGAAGATGCCATATGAAAGATTTACTAACAGCGAAACCGCTGAACACATCACCCAAGGCCTACGCCTCTATAGGCCTCATCTAGCTTCAGAAAGGGTATATACCATCATGTACAGCTGCTGGCATGAGGTAAGTGTTTTGGGGGGGACCTCTTAAATTATTTCCTTGAGCCTCCTTTCCCATTTAGCCAGCCAGGCCCCCAGTCCCCACTCTCCCTGGCCGTGTGGCAGCTGGGGACACACTGACAACCACACACATTCTGGCACCCCGCCTGTACCCCACTCCTTTGATGGCCAGAGACTTTCCCAGGCTTATCTAGTTCTCACTAGAGTTGTCTCAGCAGACCCCATTACCAACTCAGCTTTAGGGGAGGGGATGTTGTGAGGCCACATCCCCTAGCATAAGCAGGCAGCTAAAGGCACTCAGGTAAATGTATGGACACATAAAAAGAAAAGCCATTAAAATTTATGTTAATTCCTTTGGAAGCCATTAGACCTTTCTTCTACTTTACTAACTGCCAACTTTTCTGGCTGTAGTCCTACTGGAATTAAAAAAAAACCCTCCTGAAAGGGAACTAAAATTAATTTTATTCATTTTTTTAAAATGGGGTACATCATGGAGTATGTGGGTAGGTGTGGTATTTTGAAAGTAAGGAGTCTGTCCCACTATTACTAAAATGTTTTGGTGCTCTGAACTTGGGTTCTTTCAGAGGTGCTTTCTCCACTTTTCAGTAGGTCCTTGGCAACCTTAATTTGGCAACCGAAACCTCTAGTGGGAAATGAATGCTGCACCAGTAGAAACGGGGCAGGACGGTGTCCAACAAGCACATATGTGAATCTGGAGCCCTCTTGGTGGGGTGAAAAGTGGGTACTTGGATAAGAGTGTGGCTCCTTTCCCTTCAACAAATGACTGAGGTCACAAAGGAAGCATGGAGGAAGGGACAATCATTTCCCTTTTCTCTCTCCTGTGCCATCCAGGATTAAGGGGGATTGACTATGCTCCCTCCCAGCTAGGACATCCTCACTCTGCTAGTTTAACTGTTTCAGACAGGCCCTTTCTCCACAGCCTGTTTAAAGTAATACTCTTGAAATTGGATGCATATCAGAATCTCTGGGGAACTCTTAAAAGTTCAAATGACTGGGCCTTATCCTCAGAGATTCCAGTTATGTATGTCTGAAGCAGAACCCAGAAATGCCCTTTTAAACTTCCCAAGAGGGGCGCCTGGGTGGCTCAGTGGGTTAAAGCCTCTGCCTTTGGCTTAGGTCATGATCCCAGGGTCCTGGGATCGAGCCCCGCATCGAGTCCCGCATTGGGCTCTCTGCTCAGCGGGGAGCCTGCTTCCTCCTCTCTCTCTGCCTGCCTCTCTGCCTACTTGTGATCTCTGTCTGTCAAATAAATAAATAAAAATCTAAAAAAAAAATTAAGCTTCCCAGGAAATTCTGATACTCAGCTAGTTTTAAGAGCCACTGATTCAAAGGAACAAGAAACTGATGACTTTTTGGTTCTGATGGATTGAGACCCTTCTGGCATGAAGATGCTGTGAATCACTAAATACCTCAGGGGTTTATGGACCATGACTGTCACAAAGGGCCTCAGTCTAGAGGCCAGACAGTGGTAATAAAATGTCCCAGGTGCTCAGGATCCCTGCTCAGTGATGCAGCCCATGGTCTTGAAATGTTAATTCCTCTGTAAAACTTTGGCTATGGGATGAGAAAACAGTGTTTGAAAGTTTATAAGATTTCAGTTCTGGCAAACATTTAAACTTGTTTAGTAGCCATTTTTCATTTGAGGATCCAAAATAATGATGCACTGTTGTAAAATTCTGTAATGAATTCGCCCTCAGTTTTTTTTTTTTAGGTTTTATTTATTTATTTGACAGAGAGAGACACAGCGAGAGAGGGAATACAAGCCAGGGTAGTGTGAGAGGGAGAAGCAGGCTCCCCACAGAGCAGGGAGCCTGATGGGATGGGGGCTCAATCCCAGGACCCTGGGATCATGACCTGAGTGGAAGATGGCAGATGCTTAACAGCTGAACCACCCAGGTGCCCCCCACCCTCAGTTTTTAATCAGTGTTTGTCAGTTTAATCTGCAAATTGTCATCATCACATTAATAACCTCAGTTACTGGCACGTGCACCCGAATGTTTATAGCAGCAATGTCTACAATAGCCAAACTATGGAAAGAACCTAGATGTCCATCAACAGACGAATGGATAAAGAAGATGTGGTATATATATACAATGGAATACTATGCAGCCATCAAAAGAAATGAAATCTTGCCATTTGCGACAACGTGGATGGAACTAGAGCGTATCATGCTTAGCGAAATAAGTCAATCAGAGAAAGGCAACTATCATATGATCTCCCTGATATGAGGGAGAGGAGATGCAACATGGGGGGTTAATGTGGTAGGAGAAGAGTAAATGAAACAAGTTGGGATTGGGAGGGAGACAAACCATAAGTGACTCTTAATCTCACAAAAACAAACTGAGGGTTGCTGGGCAGAGGGGGGTTGGGGGGGGTTATGGACATTGGGTAGGGTATGTGCTATGGTGAGTGCTGTGAAGTGTGTAAACGTGGAGATTCACAGACCTGTACCCCTGGGGAAAAAAATATATATATATGTTTATAAAAAATAAAATTATAAAAAAAATAAAAATAAAATAAAGAGTAACCATTTTCAGAAAAAAAAATAAAAAAAAAATAACCTCAGTTACTAAAAATGAAAAGTGAACAAGGACTTCATGGAGCACTTCTATTTCTTTTCCTTTTTCTTTCGTGTGTGTGTGTGTGTGTGTGTGTGTGTGTGTGTAATTGACATGGTATGCAACAGGGCATACAGTGTATACTTAATAAACATTTCTGCTTACCCTCATTGCATTTCCCTTGAATTCTGGATTCTAGACCACTGTAACACACTGCTTTTTCTTTGGTTTTAGAAAGCAGAGGAACGGCCCACTTTCAAAGTTCTTCTGAGCAACATCCTAGATGTCATGGATGAAGAATCCTGAGCTCACCAATAAGCTTCTTGGTTCCATTCCTCTCCTCCACAAGCCCCAATTTCACTTCTTCAGAGGAAATCCCAGGCTTACAGGCCCTGGAGCCTCCACGCTCTCAGTGAATACACAAGGGCCTCTCTCTACATCTAAGAATGACTCTCTTCTTTGATTCTCTGAGATAGTACCTTCTGAGCAAAAGCCAAGGAATTACTGTGCCTGGTATTGACCTCAGCGAGAAAATTTTCCAGTTTCCAGGAGTCAGGACAGACGGAATTTGGGATGCAAAGTTTGGGGGAGGGAGGGGTGTAAATAGCCTGACAAGGGGTCCAACAGATCTTTCGGTAGGCATTAGAGCTTGGGGGGAGGGAGGCAGAATTTGGCAAGAATAAAATGGTGTCATAAAAATGGGAGGGGAGGGTGTTTTGATAAAATAAAATTACTGGAAAGCATGAGGGTTTCTTGCTATCTCGATTAGTCATGCAACCTCCCTGAAGCGCCCTATCTCAGTGTTCCAGAAAACTGTTGTGTGGCATTGGTTTGGCATATTCCTACTTTAAGAACTCCACGAGATCCTCAGCAATTTAACTCCTGCTCTGAGTCAGAGACAAACTCACAAGCAAAGCACAAGCACCAGAGCACCTGGCACACAGCAGGCATGTAATATTACCGGAATGAACCTGCAAGTTGGGGACAATTTCTGTCGGAGTCTCTTTCTCCTCCATTAGGAGGGAAAACACCCTCAAAGAAAACTGGAACCCCAGGACGGCTAACAGATGGGCCAAGTTGTCTGGGCCCAGGCAGAACCAGCACTGTAACACGAAAAGCGCGGGCCAATTTGGAAGTGGGCAGGGGCGGGGCTGTTGGGCCGGCGGAAACCGGCCACGTGATGTTAGGCAACTTCCTTTTTTACTTTTTTCCCTTTCTCTTCGGAAAGCTTCTTGTCCGCACCGCGGCACTGGGCTGCAAGCCTTGAGGCCTCAGGGTTCACCTGAAGCGCGGCACCGGTGTCGCGGGCGGGAGCCGTGTCGCGGGCGGGAGCCGGGCGCACAGGCGGCTGGGAGGAGCGGCGGGCGGGGCCACGCTCAGGACCGCGCGCCGGCGCAGTGCGCTCACGGGGCGGGCCCAGAGACAGTCAGGTTGTGGTTCCGGTTCCGTCGCGGAGACACGTGAAGGTCGGTGAGTTGGTACGGAGTTTGTCTTGGCAAGTGTGGCGGCGCTGGGATGGATTCCTCTTCGTCTTCGTCCGCGGCGGGTTTGGGCTCGGTGGACCCTCAACTGCAACATTTCATCGAGGTGGAGACTCAGAAGCAGCGTTTCCAGCAACTGGTGCACCAGATGACGGAACTTTGTTGGGTAAGCAGCCTGGGGCTGGAACCTGGCCACTGTACCTACTTTCCCCCTGTCCTTGCCCGGCGGGGCTGCCCAGGACGTCTGGGATTCGGGGAGCGGGAGGACCCGGTAGCACCCCCTTGGTTTCCTCAGGTTTCTAAGATCAAGCCGGAAGATAGAAAAGGTGAAGGTGACTCCGCTTCTCGGGGGACTCTCACCCCAGACCTTGGCTTTGTTGTTGAAGAGGACTGGGGATTGCAGCCGACTTTTCCTCTGTCCCAAGCAGCTCATTAGGCACCTGAGGTTGAAGCTGCCTAGTGCTGGCCACCAAGACAGATGAGAGCCACCAGCACAGAGAATTTTTTCTTTTTTTTTTTTTTTTTTGGAGCCCCGAGTCCCAGGCAGTGAGTCTCCTGTTCCTGGGCTACTCAGGGTTTACCTGGATTACCCAGTTGCTTTAACCATCGCCCATGAGAAATTAGTGGCTCTAGCCCAGTAACTGTAAAAGTGGCGTAATCTATCTACCCCAACCCCCCCCCCCCCCCCCCCCGCACACACTTACTTGCTTTCTTGTTGGATTGTTGTGTAATACCAGGCTCTTCCAGGTCTGAAGGTTGAGGAATTGAGTATGCCCTGTCAGGGGACTTTGGCAGAAGGGTGGAAAGGCATTTGCAGCTGGGGATCAAAGTGTTCTCTGGCCGCCAAGGACAGCATAACTGCCCTGCCTTGTGTGGGGGGAAAAAACCCTCATCGTATTCAGAGGCTAAGGATAATTTTCTTGGAAGTGGAGAGTGTGAAGCTTGTGTACACAGCAGATAATAACGAATAAAATTCATTTGAACTACTTATCTTGAACTGAATGCAGTCATCAGTTCCACAGTCCCTTTCACATAAGCTTATGGTATTGTTGGACTCTGACTCCTAACAGATGCTTACCTATATACTCTTTGGTGCTTTATTATTATTTTTTTTTAATGTGATTGATTACATTTTGCCCGGGAGGGGGTGTGGTTAAGGACTCCTTTAAGAATTTGTAAGCTTTGGGCCCTTTAGGAATATTTAAATAATTTTCCATTCATCTTGAGAGTATTCAAGAATTTCTGGCTTAAGTAGAAAAGGTTATAGAATATTGGGTAATAGATTCCTTTTTTCCTTTGGTAGGTTTTAGGGTGTCGCTGCTGTGATTTATTCTTTCACCCTTTTTTTCCCCTGCAGTTACTCTAAAGGCATTTAATGGTGGCAGCGTTCTGGAGTTATAACCAAATTCAGTGAAAGTTTGTTTCACTTGCATTTTGCTTCCCCCCGCATCCCCCTTTTTTCCGGCTCTATAATAGCTCCACCATTTTCTGTTCCAATAACTTTGGGTAAGCTATCTCTGCCATGGTTTCCCTCTTTGTAAAATGAGGATTAATGATAATATCTCTTTTGTAGGGTTGTTGGGAGAATTTAATGTAAGGCTCTAGATAACTGTTTGCTACATGTCAAATGTGAAATAGTAACATATCAGATACTGTTTTTAGGTGAAGTTTTTCCTCTAAATAACAAGAAGTAACCTCTCCCTCCCCACCTCCTGATTTTTTTCTCAAGTTCTTTTTGTGTTTCTGTATCTTGTCCTGAGCAGGAGAAGTGCATGGACAAGCCTGGGCCAAAGTTGGACAGTCGGGCTGAGGCCTGTTTTGTGAACTGTGTTGAGCGCTTCATTGATACAAGCCAGTTCATCTTGAATCGACTGGAACAGACCCAGAAATCCAAGCCAGTTTTCTCAGAAAGCCTTTCTGACTGATCTCAGCATTAACGTCTTTGGAAAAGGAAGGTACTTCAAGAAATGAAGAGCGGTTGATGGGATAATTGAAGAAAAGGCAATGGGGGAATTGGCTTCCACCTTTGTCACTCTTAGGACATCCTGTCATCTGATTATGAACAAAGACCAATACGTGTGTGTGTGTGCGTGCGTGTGTGTGGGGGGGTGGGTTTTGAGGGTCATATGTGTACTTGGCTGTGTTTTTTAATGCTAATCTTGTGAAAACAATTGACAGATGAATGGAAAACTCTAATAGATGCATATTAATGTATGTGGGACTGTGCTTTCTCAAAGTCCCATTAACTGCTCCCTATAGTTTTGATAGTGGAACTGCTTTCTATAATTTGATTGTGGGACCACATAAGGTAAAATCTGTCATTTGTGTGGATTCATTTCAGATTTCTGGGGAGATTGGATATACACCTTTTGTCTCAGAAACGGCAGCAGTGGGAGAAGAGTAATTGGTACTTAACTGTAGGCCTCCTTATCTAGTGTTTTGACTATCAGTGCTGGAAAAAAAGTCTATGGGATATTCAAACAATACACTGAGCTTTCTAGATTCTCTCCTTCCCTTATGCTGTGACTTACTTTAATGTATAAGGTATGGTCTCAAGGTAGTACAGGTAGCCTGAGTGTCTAGAGACCTTTAGTTATAAAGGAATCTAGCAAGTGAGCATAATTCATTACTAAACTGCCACAAGGAAGAAGCTTACTTACCCTGTATATCAGAGTCCAAAAAATTCAAAGATGTGCCTAAATAGGTGGTAAGATTTAGGCCAGTCAGAAACTAACAGCAGTTTCAAGTAGAGATGCATGCCTAATGTTAATCAGTGTAGACTCCATTTACTGCATTCTTTTGATCACTGAAATAAAGGCTTCTACAAAATTCAACTCTGATTCAGAAAGCTTTCTATTCTGGTTATCACCTACACCCTGGAGAGATTTGGTGTAGGTTGGTTCCAAGACTGAAGTGCGTGTCTGGGTACTTGCTCTGTGCAAGGAACAGCACGGTATTCCAGGGTTGTCTGTGTGACGTTTTTGTGAGAAAGGAGAACCTTGAGATGAGATGGGGAGGGAAGGGATTCAGTGTTGACAGTCAGTTCCCACAGTGTAGTAGAAGAGATTATATTGACTGGATTCCCCTCCCAACTTCAAATGCCAGTAGACTGAAGTGTAGACCAGTATGTAACTACTTGTTGGGAGCCTCTAGTTCAGATCCATGAAGGCTGGGGAAATACACATTTCTAGAAGCCTCAAGTCCTTTAAGTTTTCCACCATATAGGTACTATGAGGAAATCTTTTAAAACCCTGGTGAAGAAATTCACAAAAGTTTCAAGTGATTTTTCTGTGCCAGACACTGTTTTTGGTGCCACGGCTTCAAGAGTGCACAAAAAAACAAAGTCCTTGCCCATGTAGAGCTTGTGTTCTATGAGAGGGGAGTCAGGCAACAAACCCATAAATATGCCAGTATAATGAGTGCCATGGAGGAAAAAGCGGAGTCTGGGGTATTAGGGAATGTTTGTGGGGCTGTTGTTATTTGAGATAAGATGGTTAGAGAAGGCCTCCTTGGGAATGTGGCAGTTCTCAGAGACCTGAAAGAATTAAGTGACTAAGCCATGTTGGTATCTGGGAAGAATATTTCAGGCAGAGGTAACAGCAGGTCCAAAGATCCCGTGGTCAGAGCAGCATGCCATGATGCTGAGGGAGAACAGTCAGAGTCCACAGGGCTGGAGCAAAATAAGTAAGGAGAATGGTAAATAAAGTCAGAGACAAGCATGAGACACATTGGGGCTGGGAGGCGGGTAAGTGCACTGATCATGTAGGGCGTTAGAGGCCATTGCAAGGACTTGGCTTTTAGCAAGCAAAATGGGAAGCCATTTGAGGGTTTTTAGCAGATGAGTGATATAACTTAAGTTTTAGGAGGGTCTGGCTGCTGTTTGGAGAACATGTATGTGTACAGTAGTAAGAATAATGGCATTTTGAAGTCCAGGAGAAATCAGGCTCTTAGGGTAGGTATCTAGCATATAATTTGTATCTATATATCCCCATTGATTTTTTTTCTCTACAAAATCTAGTGTGTTCACAGAAAACCTCAAGTCATAAATGAAGGGTCCTTTAGTCTTTGCCTTCTTGAATTTATTCCTCCTCTTTATTTTTTTTAAAGATTTTATTTATTTTATTTGACAGAGATCACAGGCAGAGAGAGAGAGAGGAGGAAGCAGGCTCCTAGCTGAGCAGAGAGCCCGATGCAGGGCTCGATCCCAGGACCCCGGGATCATGACCTGAGCCGAAGGCAGAGGCTTTAACCCACTGAGCCACCCAGGTGCCCCTCATTCCTCCTTTTTATTATATATTACTGTTTTTTAATTTGCTAACTATTTATTCCTTCTTAGTCTTCCTTCATTTGGTATTAAGATATTCTCATCACATTTAGACACAAATGTAACTGTTTTCTTTTACAATATTAACTGCTTGCTCAGCTAATGTACATAATGAGAGAGAGGGTCTGTCGGATTTATACAATATGCTTGAGCACCAAGTGTATGTTCAGTACTACTTGGTACCAGATAATGGGAGAGAGAAAAGGTAGAAAGAACATTTGTCCTCATTGTCAAGGAGGTTAGGTATACCAGAGCAACAATTTGAGCTTTTGTTTGCTTTGTCAATCTCAGAAACTTCAGTATCTTGATAGAAAGGTGGTATTCTCAGCCCTAATAACACTCAAAGTTCTCATTTCAATATTCAGGGTAGAATGCTTGAGACTCCGAATATGAAAAGGATTGCATTAGCAGAATCTTTCCCTGAAATGAAATCTTACTTGGAAGCCTAGTATATAAAATAGAAAACCAAAGCTGCATTGGAAGAGGCCCACTGTTGTCACCCCCACCCCCATTTCACCCACTCCTGTGGTGCCTAAGGCACTGTCTTAGGACCTCCGGGTTTTACTAAACATACTGTGGAAACTGGACCAAGACTGTCCCTAAGGCCCCTGCTCATGAGTCTATAAATGAACATTAGGGATAACAGATACAAGGAAACCAAGCAAGAACTTTTTGTATTTATTTATGGTAACAAATCTCTAGAGGGAGTCTAGATATAAAATATAACAAGTTAGAGGACACCTGGGTGCTTCAGTTGGCTGAGTCGGCCTTCAGCTCAGGTCATGAACCCAGAGGGCATCAGGCTTCCTGCTCAGCGGGAAGTCTGCTGCTTTCTCTCTTTCCCTCTGCCCCTCCCCACTGCTGGTCTCTCTCTCTCTCTCTGTCTGAAAGAAATAAAATCTTTTAAAAAATATGTCAATAAACCCCATGTGAGATAACGTTTACATGCAAAGCAATCGGTGGTCTTTAAAAAAAAAAAATTTTTCACTCCTATCAGTACCTTAATAAAAAAATCTTGGCCTAGGAAGATTTTATTTCAAAGACCACTCAGTGGTGTTTTAAAACTCTTCATATTCTCTTCCAGTTTCATCTTCTGGACTCAAAAGAGGCTGATGCAGAAAAGTCTGGTAACTTGTATGTTTATTCCATGGAAGAGTAAGAATATTGCTTAGATTAATTGATCTCCAGTCAAAGGGCAACAGAGACAGACCACAAGGGACATCTTAAAAGGTGTGGCAGCAGGGCGCCTGGGTGGCTCAGTGGGTTAAAGCCTCTGCCTTCAGCTCATGTCATGATCCCAGGGTCTTGGGATCGAGCCCCGCATCAGGCTCTCTGCTCAGCAGGGAGCCTGCTTCCCTTCCCCTCTCTCTGCCTGCCTCTCTGCCTACTTGTGATCTCTGTCTGTTAAAAAAAAAAGTGTGGCAGCAAAAAGGCCAAGAACTATGGTAAGGAAACCACAGGTGGTACCAGCCAAGGCTGTTGAGGGCCTATGCTGCCATTCCTTAAAAAGAGTGGAAGAGAAGGTGAGGACAGGTGTTTGGAGAGGCAGACAGTACATGGCCATGACTGTGTAGGGACTGAAAGTATCCAAGGCCTTGTTCAGATAGTTCATTTGAGTGCTACACCAATCACAAGACCAGTCAAGAGTATCCACTTGAGGGCTGGCTTTGTGATTGACTTCCCTAAAACAGCTACTTCAAGGTGATGCCCAAACTTGATACCTGACATGGAAAGTGAGCCAACAAGAGCAGATAGGAATATACACTAGCAGGTTACCCGGGCCATCATGAGGTCCCACTATGCAGACGAGCAAGTGGAACTGGTCACTACACATAGCAAAACTGACAAATCCTGTGATACAAGAAAATAATTGCATTACTACTTTTAGTACTCCTATAAGAAATGCTAAAGCAGTTTGACAACTAAGTCATTAAATTCTGTGACAACTTAGCAAATGAGGAACATATCAGCAATCAGTCATTTAATGTAAGAACTAATAAAATTTGTTGTCTGTATCTAAAGCTGTATCTTTTTTTTTTTAAGATTTTAGTCATTTGTTTGTGAGGCAGAGGGAGAAGCAAAGTAGGACTTGATCCCAGGACTTGGGGATCACAACCTAAGCCAAAGGCAGACGCTTAACCAACTGAGCCACTCAGGTGCCTCTGAAGCAATATCTTTAAAAAAATCACGTGCTGTGAGTTGTGTAATAAGGCTGGTGATTCACAGACCTGTACCCTTGAAGCAAATAATACATTATATGTTAATAAAAAAGAAAGAAAGAAAGAAACTAAAGAAGGCAAAGCCTGCCTGTACAATGTAATTATGGTACTTTCTTTTACACAGAAATACATAGAAGGAACAATTAGGATATAGCAAGCCAAGATTCAGATGTACTGATCAGGAACTCTAGAGGAACAAAAGGGCCAACAGAATTTTGAGATGTATCTGCAATATATTGATACTCGCTATGCTTTGCTGAGGATATGCATACTATCTGCCACATATTATTTTACATGGGTCATCTTTTTAAAAATTACAACTCTATGAGATGGGAACTATTATTACCATACCCACTTAGAGAGCTGAGGCTCAAGAGAAATTAACTTAATTCAAGGTTACAAAGCTAATAAATTAGAGGGATGGTATTTAAATCCATGCAGTTTGACCCCAGAACTAATGGTCTGAACTATGATGCTAAACTAACTCCTAAACTTCCCACCTAAAGATAGGAAGTAATGCTTTTTTAAAAGGTAGGGCCAG